AGCGTCTTCACGACATGGTGGCAGCAACAGCAATACTACAGCGAGAATAAAAGTTACACCTTCTTTCTTTGCGTGAACATTTGGGCGGCGTTATGCAAATCTTCCCACATAGTGACGTAGACATGTGGGGGCGTGTTAGACCGAGCTGTTTTAGGTAGGCGTGGTTGACTCTTAACTTTTATAAAGAATATCTCTTTGGATTTGAGTCTTTGCAACTTTTTACAGATCTTCTTTATGCACCAAGAGCTTGTAACACTCCAAAGAGAAAGGAAAAATTGAAATCGCATCATATGACCCCTTTAAGTAGGCCTATTTTTTGGGAGTATCTACTTTGCTTGAGTTTTTATATTTCTGTCAACTTTCACTTTTACTCCACTACAATAATTGAAATGTATACTTTTACTCCAATACATTTCCCCGAAGCATATTCGTTACTTACTACAAAATAAAGTCGTAAGAACACAGACTGCAACAAAGCAGGTTTGACGAATCAGTGGTCGGGGGCTTGCAAGTCAGACTCCTAAAAAACACCTTTGCTTTGCTCATGTGCAAACACATTGTTTGAGAGTAACTAGTTACATGTAACGGAATTATGTGATTTAATTACAAAATAAATGTAACTGTAATCAGTTACAGTTACTGAGAAAAAAATTTGTAATTAAAGTACAGTTACTTATGAAAATGTTAACGATTACAAAGGGGGTTACATCTGAATATTTTCACACACATACAGATTTGATTGATTTCTATGGAGTCAATATAATGCCACTTATATATGTAAAATAATAAAGTTTTGCAAACGAAAATGAAAGTATTGAGAAAAATTTTTTTTTTCTTTTGCAAAACTTTATTATTTTGCATATATAAGTGGCATTATATTGACTCCATAGATTTCTTTCCCAAATTGCATTGACTGCTTTAAAATGCGAGACACCAAAGTTTCAGGAGTTTAGGACACAAAATATGTGACTTATTCAATAACAATATGCTGCTGTTGTCGTTATTGACTCAAAATGCATATTCTCAACTTTGCTGACGGAAATGTTACGCCCCTCACCATACTGTGATGCCCTGTCTGGCCGGAGCGTAACATAAAACCATGTCTGCTTTTGTGATTAGAGAAATGACAAACAACAAGTGCTACTCCACACTGCTTTGAAAAACTTGCGTTTGAATCGTCAGTGGCAAATTCTTTAAATATAATAAATGTACTTACAGTCCGTGAGTCAGAAATGGAGTCAATATAATGCCACTTATATATGTAAAATAATAAAGTTTTGCAAACGAAAATGAAAGTATTGAGAAAAATTTTTTTTTTCTTTTGCAAAACTTTATTATTTTGCATATATAAGTGGCATTGGGGGTGGAGTCAAGGGATGGGGGCGAGTCAAGAGACTCAAGCTTCATTTTTTTTTTACTTACAGTTACAGTCTTTTCTTAATTTATGCCAGGAGTTATGTAAATGAAAAACGAAGTCGAGATCGATATGAAGCTTGAGTCGTAGACCTTTTTAATGATGTAAGTTAGTTAATGAAGTTAATTGCATTCTTTAACATTAAAACTAGCAGTAACTCTGAGCTCATGTAAACAAAGAGTGCTTCTGTGCGCTGGCATCCTCCCACAGGTTAAGAGATTTTAAACAAACACATTTAGTTAACCAAATGAAACAATACACATTTTAATGCTATAAAAGTGTGCACATTGACAGAAGTAAACAGCAGATATTCATTTTAAAAACTTCTTTAACTTGAGCAAACACTGCTAATACACATATACATTTGTTAATAAAGTTAATAAACCGAAAACATGCATGTTTTAATGCTAGAGAATAACGATGGTGCCGGGATCAGTGAGCAGCGTCTCGGGCCGATGATGTCACTTCCAGGGAGGCATGCCCAGGCCTGTTGTACACGCCCCCATCCCTTGACTCCACCCCCATGTCAAAACAGTGCCAGAAAGCGAGACGCGCAGAAACGTGAAGCCAAAGGGAAAACGGAATCGCAAGCTCAAACTTGACTGAAACGCAAAATAAAAGCAGCGTTGCAAATAAATTAGAAGATATGGCCATGGAAAATACGTATTGCAAAAGCATTGCTTTTGTGCTGTTTCATTTATATTTTGCAATTCTTTATTTTTGTTTGCAAAAAACACATTTATTTTTTCTCAATGCTTTCATTCTCATTTGTAAAACTTTATTTTCTTTTGCAAAACTTTATTATTTTGCATATATAAGTGGCATTATATTGACTCCATAGATTTCTTTCCCAAATTGCATTGACTGCTTTAAAATGCGAGACACCAAAGTTTCAGGAGTTTAGGACACAAAATATGTGACTTATTCAATAACAATATGCTGCTGTTGTCGTTATTGACTCAAAATGCATATTCTCAACTTTGCTTATATGTTTAATGAGTCACTCCTTGCATCATATACACAACTTGTTAAACATCAAACATTATTTAAACCATTTGTATGGTTGCTTCAACTGGGGTTGCATGAATTAGTGCACTCTCAGTGCTGGATTGCATCAAGGGCATCCAGTGTAAAAACTGTGGCAAATGGCTGTGCGGATAATTCCGGAGCAGCTGAAGGGGGGAGAGAGTATGTTTCATTTAGGAACTGAATTTGAATGTGAATTTTCTTCAGCTGAACACAAAAGAAGATACTTTGAAGAATGGGGGTAACCAAACAGTTGCTGGTC